AAAGTCCCTATATATATTTCGGTTTGCACGAAATTTGGCACAGCGTAATGAATTAGGTCTAGAATGAAGTGTGTTAAGTTTCGCGAAAATCGGTTCAGATTTAGATATAGCTCCCATATATATTTTCGTCCGATTTAAGGTAAATGGTGCAACAAAGTCCCTAAATGATTTGCACGAAATTTGGCACAGCGTACTAAATTAAGCCTAGAATGATGTGTGCTAAGTTTCGTGAAAATCGGTTCAGATTCAGATATAGCTCCCATATATAGCTTCGTCCGATTTAAGGTAAATGGTGCACCAAAGTCCCTAAATATCTTTTGATTTGCACGAAATTTGGCATAGCATTCTGAATTAAGCCTTGAATGATGTGTGCTAAGTTTCGTTAAAATCGGTTCAGATTTATATATAGCTCCTATATATATTTCGAATGGGTGTCTTAATGAAATTAAAGGTTTAACAGTACCACTCGATTTGCAGCGTGTATCAATTTCGCTATAAATCGAATTTTGAATTAATTTTTCCCATGTAACACAGACGACCCTAAATCTGACCGAATGAAATTAAATTTATCATATGTTGCAGAAAGACATGAGAATGTTCCTTCGAGGGAACATTGACATACAATTGTAAGGATACATATGTACAATATACCCAAAGTGGTGAAGGATATGATACCCTTCACCACTTTGGGCTCAGCCCGACTTTACTACTTTCCTTACTGGTTTAAAACATTTTTTTTTTTCAATTCTTAAATAGGCGAGGATTTTTTAACAAATATTTTTCTGATATTTTTTCATACAAAAAATAAAAGTATCTTCACGGAGCCAAAAGTGTTAAGGAGAATCCAAAATACTTAGCTTGCTCATTCTTGCCGATATAAATTCAGCATACACAGTTTCAATACTGTGACAAATCTATCAATATACTCCCAAATCTACAACAGTCTATATTGTTGTATGAAAACCTAAAAAAAAAAACTTTCACAAATACTACACCATTTAATTGTTTCAAAATCTGTCTCTATTTAAGTTTGAGTGTGTGTGTGCTTAAAATAAATATTGAATATAGCAAAAGCAAAGACAACACTACATTGCACATGGCAAAATTAAAATGTATAATGTAAACTATATTACTAAAACATTTACAGGGAAATAGTAGTTTGCTCCCACAAACCTACTTATGAATTATAATGAACTGCTGCTGCTGCAATCTAAGAATTTGCTCTGCTATTCCAAGAAATTTACTACAAAGAAGAAAAAAAACAAATGACAGAATTTTCAAAACATTTAGTGAATATAATGAGACTGCAGTAGAACACAAAGGCGATAATTAGCAACAACAAAAAACTCTCGTCTGTATAATTAATTTGTAATGACATAATGGGGTTATTAGGGAAATTTATGAAAATTGAAACTAATAATAAGAGCAGTAGTAAAAAATATATATCTCAAACCAAGTTAAATTACGCTCTAGTTGTGTAAACAAAATATAAAAAACAAGGGCATATAAAAATATTGTGCAGCAGGAAAAAATAAAAAAATAAATAAACCGCAAACAAAAATAATAATAAAATAAAAAAAGGTATGACAAAAACAATGCCAGTAACTATGAAATGAGATAATTCATAAATGGGAACGGGTTTTGTAATAAATTAAAATTTAATAATGTCGCATCATCGTGGCGTGAGTGTAGATGACACCTGTCTGATTTTTTGTACTCAACGAGGGGTATGGAGATGCTAAAGCCAATAATGTAATTAAATTTCAAGCAAAAAATATATTTTCGAAGCTTGGGTATTTATAAAAATATTGGTAGGCGTTACCGAAGACATGGATGTTTAAAATAATATTTTTTGAAGGACTGCCAAAGTTGCGGATTTTTAAAATGAAATTTTTAAGGTTTAAATAAGGCCTTTTTTTAAAGAATATATTTTTAGAAGCCTATTTAAGGAATATTTTTTTTATTTTTTAAGGAACATTTTTTTCGGAGAACTATTAAAGGCGTGGATTTTTTTAAAGAATATTTTTTCAGAGGCCCGTTAAAGCGTAGATTTTTATACCCTACACAACTATGTTGTCAGGGTATTATAGCTTTGTGCAGACCCAAGAGTTTGTAACACCGCGAAATATTGACCCTAGACCCATCTTCAGGTATACCGATCGTCATATCTCGACTAGCTGAGTAGATCTAGACATGTGTGTCCGTCCGTCCGTCTGTCCATTATAATTTGTAAACACGATACAGGGCACAGTTATGGACCAATCTGCACGAAATTTTGCATGTAGGATGGGTTCTGCCCAATGAAGACCCCTATTATTTTTTGTAAATATCGTTAATATATAGGGGATGAAATGGACCAAATACTTAATTTTTATCGGTTTTTCTGATCGCTCCACAGGCCGCAATTATGGCCTGTTACATGGAGAAGGGGATCGGACCAAAGAATAAACATGCCTGTTTTGATAAAGATCGGTAAATATTTAGCGGGTCAAATGGACCCTGACTTTTGTGTGAAAAATGACAAAATTTGCATTCTATAGCGTATATATTTACCCCTGAATGACATAGACCCGAGAAATTGGTGGCACAGTTATGGAGTGGTTGGCCTTTAAATTGATACCAATTTTATTGTTGTAATATTTTTTAGATGCCTATTTAAGGCGTAGATATTTTAAAGAATATATTTTCAGAAGCCTATTTAGGGCGTGGATTTTTTAAAACATATTTTTTCAGAGGTCTATTTAAAGAGTGGATTTTTTAAAACATATTTTTTCAGAGGTCTATTTAAAGCGTGGATTTTTTGAAGAATCTTTTTTTAGAGGCCTATATTGGGCGTGGATTTTGTAAAGAATATATTTTTTAGAGGTATATTTAGGGCGTGCTTTTTTAAAGGGTATTGTTTTCAGAGCCTATTTAGGGCGTGTTTTTATACCCTTCGCCACACTGTGGCACAGGGTATTATGTCTTTGTGCATATGTTTGTAACAGGCAAAAGGAAATGAGATAGACACATGGTTCCTTTTGAGAATATGCATAGAATCACTTTTTATGTCGATTTATGCATGTTCGTCTGTCCGTCCGTCTGTCCGTACGTCCGTCCATGTATTTTTGTTAACAAAGTACAGGTCGCATTTGTGATCCGATTTGGATGAAATTTTGCACAGTTCACTTATTTGGCCCAAGAACGAACCCTATTGAAATTGGGAAAAAATCGATTCAGATTCAGATATAGCTCCCATATATATTTTCGTCCGATTTTATGTAAATAGTGCACCAAAGTCCCTATATATCCTTCGATTTGTACGAAATTTGGCACAGCGTACTGAATTAATTCTAGAACGATGTGTGTTAAATTTCGTGAAAATCGGTTCAGATTTAGATATAGCTCCCATATATATTTTCGTCCGATTTTAGGTAAATAGTGGACCAAAGTCCGAATATATCCTTAAATTTGCACAAAGTTTGGCATGGCATTCTGAATTATGCCTAGAACGAATTGTGTTAAATTTTCTGAAAATAGGTTCATATTTAGATATAGCTCCCATATATATTTTCGTCCGATTTTAGGTAAATAGTGGACCAAAGTCCCTATATATGCTTCGATTTGCACGAAATTTGGCACAGCGTACTGAATTAATTCTAGAACGATGTGTGTTAAATTTCGTGAAAATCGGTTCAGATTTAGATATAGCTCCCATATATATTTTCGTCCGATGTAATGAAAATGGTGTACCAATGTCCCTTAATGTCTTTCGGCCTAGAATGGTGTGTGTTAAGTTTCCTGAAAATCGGTTCAGATTTAGATATAGCTCCCATATATATTTTTGTCCGATTTAATGTACATGTTGCACCAAAGACCCTATATGTCTTTCAATTTGAACGAAATTTGGCACAGCGTAATGAATTAGGTCTAGAATGGTCTGTGCTAAGTTTCATGAAAATCGCTTCAGATTTAGATATAGCTCCCATATATATTTTCGTCCAATTTAATGTAAATGGTGCACCAAATTCCCATAATATCTTTTGGTTTGCACGAAATTTGGCATAGCATTCTGAATTAAGCTTAGAACTATGTGTGTTAAATATCGTGAAAATCGGTTCAGATTTATGTATAGCTCCCATATATATTTTCGTCCGATTTTAGGTAAATAGTGCACGAAAGTCCCTATATATTCTTCGATTTCCATGAAATTTGGATTTATAAGTAAATGAAGAATGCAAAAAACATACTGAAATAACTGTAACCTAACATGTGACAAGTTTCGATGAAATCGGTTTAGATTTCGATATTTTGCTTTAAATTTATTTACATAATTTTGTCCCATTGTACTGGTTTAAGGATATTTTTTACAGCTCAGCTAAGGTGTGGATTTTTTAAAGAATATTTTTTTCAGAGGCCTATTTAGGGCGTGATATATTTTCAAGGCTCAGATAAGGAGTGGATTTTTTAAAGAATATATTTTCAAGGTTCAGAGTTTTAAAGAATATATTGTCCAGTCTCAGATATGGCGTGGATTTTTAAAGGATATATTTTTAAGTCTCAGATAAGGCGTGTATTTTTTAAGAATATTTTTTCAAGCCTAGAATAAGGCTTTGATTTTTTAAGAATAATTTTGCAAGCCTCAGATAAGGCTTTGATTTTTAAGAACATTTTTTCAAGCCTCAGATAAGGCTTTGATTTTTAAGAATATTTTTTCAAGCCTTAGACTTGATTTTTAAAAACAGTTTGTTTTCTTGTCTAAAATAACGATTTGATTTCTAATGAATATTTTAGGACCCATTTAAAAACAATATTTTATTTTACTTTCCAATGCTAATTCCCTACCTTAACTTGCTTTTATTTCCAGGTCCACGATTGGGCAACAGATTTCTGTGATGGCACCTGCCTGTGTGCTCTCGTCGAAAGCCTACAGACACGCCCCCTCAAGCCAGCATGGAATCGTCGCCCAGCCAATCAACATCATTATTTGGAAAATGCCACAACAGCACTCAAATCCATCGAAGAAGATCACATAAAGTTGGTGAATATTGGCAATGTCGACATAGTCAATGGCAATGTCAAGTTGATTTTGGGCCTCATCTGGTCTCTCATTGTCCGATATCAAATTGGTCGAAGTAAATTCCCACCACGTAAATTAATGTTGGCATGGTTACAGGCGGCATTGCCCGATTGTAAGATAACCAATTTGACAACAGATTGGAATAGTGGTGTAAATTTGGCAGCCCTATTGGATTATTGTAAACCGGGGCTATTTCCACATTGGCGTTCGCTGGATCCCAGCCAGAGTATTCGTAATTGTACAAATGCCATGAATTTGGCACAAAGTGAATTTGGTGTACCAAAAGTATTGGAACCGGAATATTTGGCATCGCCGTGGTTGGATGAGTTGTCCGGTATGACATATTTATCGTATTTTATGAAGCCGGGTGGTCCTGGCTACAATGCCACCATGAGATGGGTTAATACACAAGTCCGGGAGCCAGTGCAGAATTTTACGGTAAGTAAAAAATTTATATATTTGTAATTAAGATTAATGTTTTAATTTTTCTTTTTAATTTTAGACCGACTGGAATGATGGTCGTGTTTTGTGTGAAATCATCAAGGGTTTGGGTGGCCCAGCCCCGGCCCCCGAAAAGCTAAGCACTGATCCCTTTCACTATGAAAATAACATACGTAAAGCCTTGGAGGCTGGCTCCAAGCTGGGGGTCCAGCCAGTATTGACGGCCAAGGATATGTCCAATCCTGAAGTGGAACATTTGGGTATAATGGCCTATGCAGCCCATCTACAATGGGTACCGCCCCGACCACCCCTATCCGATATGGTTAATGTGTTTTTGGAAAGCACTTCGGGCAGGGTTGGAGAACCGGTAAGATTAGGAATTTCTACATGGGGTCATGTATATTTTATAAATTATGCCCTACACCACATTGTCGGAACGTAAGATGCAGATGGAAACAATTACGACCCATATTAACCTTCGATGATATATTTTGAATCGCCTTTTGGGTCAATAAATTCATGAACGGATAGGTCGTATTTTTTATCCAATTAAAATGGAATTTGTTTGGTACAAGTGGACCTATGTTCCAAAGTTGACATGCACTTTTAGGCAGGCTATCATAATGAGTCTCATTATGATAGCTTGCCCAAATTGTGTGCCAAATTTAATGTAAATCTGTTCAGGTTTGGATATCGGTCTTATGGGTCAATAATATGATTCTTAAAAGAATCTCTTGTATATATCCAAAGTGGTGTAGGGAATAATTTGGTCGGTCCTTAACGACTTTAATCCTTTCTTCATTGATTTTTTCTTCTCTTTTTCAGACCCACTTCCGCATAGATGTGTTATCGCGTGACATCAGCTTAAGCAATGTCAAGGCGTTTGTGGTCCCACCCTCTGGCCACCCGCAGCCCGTGAAACTCAATAACCACGGTGAGGGTGTCTACATACCCGATAAATATGGCATGCATGAAATTGTGGTGGAAATCGATGGTGATAGCCTTGGTGGCCATTTCTTTAGAGTCCTACCCCGATTCATACAGGTTGCACCACCCGGTATGGCTCCATGCGCTCTCGGCAGTCTGGTGGAGGTTTTGGTCAATGCTACTGGTGCCCCAAAAACTGAAGATATTCTCGTTACTGCCGTTTCGCCAACTGGCATTTCCCACAATTGTCCTCTGAAAAAAGTCGAAGAGGGTCACAGTGCCATATTTAAACCCGACGAAGCGGGTATATGGGAAATAGCCATTACGTATCAGGGTCGTCACATTCAGGGTGGTCCTTTCACCTGTGCTGTATTCGATGCTTCGGGCGTGTCCGTGCATGGTCTTGATGGTGCCATGCCTTTGAGAGCTCATTCCTTTGAGGTGGATGCCCGTGGTGTGGGAGTCAACGGGGAACTTCACGTCGATATTGTTCACGATAAACGTTCCCTAGTGTGTTCGGTGGAAAAAATTGTTGACAATAAATATCGTGTGACCTTCATACCCCGACAAAATGGCAAATATCGTGTCTATGTATATTTCAATGGTTATGATGTCAAGGGGTCACCCTTCATTATGCGTGTAGGTACCAAAGGACGTTCGGGTAAGACCCGCAGTAGTCCTCTGCATGATACCAAACACCGTTCGGAAAGTCCATCAATGCATTACACCTCAACCACATCGACACGACACAATGACTATCGTAATGCAGCCACCTCATCGCTGTCACGGCGTGATCTGATGAATCATCACTCGAATACGAGCACCACCAACATTGGCACCAGCGAACGGCAACGTTCCTTCTCGCCACAGTATTCACCCAAACAGGATACCACAGACTATCGCACCAGTTCCAGTTACTATAAGCGTGAGAGTGAGGTAAGTCATGGCTGGCATGTGAATATTTTTGCATGGGATCTGGTGAGGGAGAGGGTTGAGGGGTGATGGTTACTGACGTAGGCCCAGCAACAACAACCATAAAGGGCCGCCACCAATGCACAAAAATAACGAAGAGGAAAAACGAAAACGCTTAATTGAATTTGTGTGTTGCATTTTAATGGCGTTAAGGAAAAATTGCTCAATTCAATGTTAAATGTTAAGCCTTTCATTCATTCAATCGCTCACTCACTCACTGGACTGACACTTCAATTGCATGCTAATGTACAAATAACAACATTAACTTGAGGGCAGAGTTTTTTTAATTTGTATTTATGTATCTGTGTATACGTATTTATTTAACATCAAAAATATGCATAATTTATAAGTGTTGGAAGGATGATGTGAAGATTGTGGCTTGTAATTGGAATTTTTCAGTATATTTCTTTATTTAATGTAAATTCAGCCGTGGCTGAATACATGTTTCTATAAAAAATTTGTTATTCAGCCTGGCTGAATACATGTTTCCATAGGAAATTTGCTATTCAGCCTGGCTAAATACATGTTTCCATAGGAAATTTGCTATTCAGCCTGGCTGAATACATGTTTCCATAGGAAATTTGCTATTCAGCCTGGCTGAATACATGTTTCCATAGGAAATTTGCTATTCAGCCTGGCTGAATACATGTTTCCATAGGAAATTTGCTATTCAGCCTGGCTGAATACATATTTCCATAGGAAATTTGCTATTCAGCCTGGCTGAATACATATTTCCATAGGAAATTTGCTATTCAGCCTGGCTGAATACATGTTTCCATAGGAAATTTGCTATTCAGCCTGGCTGAATACATGTTTCCATAGGAAATTTGCTATTCAGCCTGGCTGAATACATACTTCCATAGGAAATTTGCTATTCAGCCTGGCTGAATAAATGTTTCCATGAGAAATTTGCTATTCAGTCTGGCTGAATTCATGTTTCCAAAGGAAATTTGCTATTTTGCCTGGCTAAATATAATTTTCTAAGAAAAGTTTTCAATTCAGCCTAGCTGAATTCTGTGTTTTGTACATATTTTTCAATTTTGCTGAATAACTGTTTCTTTGAATTTGCAATGATTTCCCATAAAAAGGTGCCAAAATCTACTTCGCTTTTTTGAACGACTCACTCCTAAACTGCTTACTAGCCCATAATAACCGGAAACCGACACCCGTCTATCACACTGTATAGAGTCAAAACACATTCACTACCACTACATATTTACATATCAGCACACAGCAAATCCATATACATTTATTTTTGGCTTGACTCCCACTTATCAACAAGACCAGCAAAATTTTTTTAATTCAAATATTAGTCACAAACAATCACACATACCTACATACATACATACACACCATACATTACTACACATGACAAAAAAATCAAAATCAAATGTTTTTAGGATAAATTGGCAACATCACCACCACCACCGCCCGCACCACAGCCACCGTTTCGTGAGCGTGAATACAATGATGATTCACCCACAACCAAATATCTCAATTCGGTAGACCTGTATAATGTAACCAGTCCCAGACGTGATTCGCGGGCTTCCAATTTATCGAATGCCTCCAAAAATGATTATTACTATGACAAGGAAAATGAGCTGTATAGCAGTAGACGGGGTGAACGTGATTTGAATTTGGCGCCACCGCGTGAAGATCGCGAAGATTATTATGACTTGCAACAGCAACAACAACAGTATGAACAGAAAACCAACCACCAACAGACACGTACACAAACACGTGGCTCGGTCTCATACAGTTCGAGATTGAGTCCAATACTGTCCAGTCCCACTTCTGATGTAACTAAAAAATCTCTCTTCTTAATTTTTTGTTCTTAAATTTGTTTTTGTTGTTCTAACTAATTTTTAGTGTTAAAGTAAATGTGTTCACTAATCTTAAGCTAAGAATCCTTCGAAAATCTAATAAATCTATATCCAATATTTCATAACAGATCCGTTCCAGTGAGGTACGTACCCATAGTCCACTGACCGTAAAAACGTCATTGCCTTATGAAACCACAACGCGCAATTTGAGTGTTAGTCCTCGGCATATGTCAGCATCGCCGGTGCAACGTTATTCGCCGAACAATTCGTACATTACAACAGCTACACACCGCATGAGTCCGAGCACAACATTGAACAAGGTATGACTTCAAACATCCCAATTAAAACTAAATATTCTAAATTCTAAATATTCTCCTCACTCTCCATCTCTCCCTGTCAGAATGGCTACGAATCCCGCACTGTCGAAAAAACGTCAACCTATAAATCGAGTTCGAATTATGTTACCGATTCTAATATACGTGCAAGTCCTTCTCTCTATGGTACCGCTGAACGTTTGAGACGTACCGAATCGCCCGAACCACGTATTGATCATTCATCAAATGTTCGGGTATCGTCGATGAAACCAGCCTCGGCTCGTCGTGACAGTTGGGATGTTATAAATAAAACAAAACATTTATTGTCCCATAATTCGCTGGAGTCATTGGCCAATATGACCGAACAACAGCTAAACACAGATTTAAGTTATAATCGTCCCGATATTGATAATGAGACACATCGTAATACCCAATATAATAAGTTTGCCTTGAATGAGCAGAGATTTCAAAGGGAGAGGCGTGGCTCCAGGGATTCCATAGATGAAACTGATCGTTATAAGTATGTCAAAAAATGTGCAATATTCGCACAAAAAATCAATTCAGCAAAGCTGAATACAATTTTTCAGAGAAAATCTGTAGTTCAGCCCAGCTGAATATAAGTTCCTATGCTAAATTTCCCAATCAGCATGGCTGAATACATGTTTCTATAGGAAATTTGTTATTCAGCCTGGCTGAATACATGTTTCTATAGGAAATTTGTTATTCTGCCTGGCTGAATACATGTTTCTATAGGAAATTTGTTATTCAGCCTGGCTGAATACATGTTTCTATAGGAAATTTGTTATTCAGCCTGGCTGAATATAAACTTCCATGTCAAATTTGCTATTCAGACTGGCTGAATATAAGTTTCCATAGAAAATTTGTTATTCAGCCTGGCTGAATACATGTTTCCTTAGGAAATTTGTTATTCAGCCTGGCTGAATACATGTTTCTTTAGGAAATTTGTTATTCAGCCTGGCTGAATACATGTTTCTATAGGAAATTTGTTATTCAGCCTGGCTAAATACATGTTTCTATAGGAAATTAGTTATTCAGCCTGGCGGAATACATGTTTCTTTAGGAAATTTGTTATTGAGACTGGCTGAATACATGTTTCTATAGGAAATTTGTTATTCAGCCTGGCTGAATACACGTTTTTACAGGAAATTTGTTTATTTAGAAAATATGCTGTTCTGCCTGGCTGAATATAAGTTTGAATAGAAAATATGTTATACAGCCTAGCTGAATATAAATTTCTGGCTGAAATTATAATGTAATTCTTAAGGAATACCTCTAATTTTTTTTAAATCTTTTCACAGACCCAGTGCCATCACTGTCAAGTCACAATCGAACAACACATACACCGATAAATCCGGTGGCTATACACGCACCGTTAAAGAATCAAGCCAACAAATTGTTACCGAAAGTTCTTCGACCTTGAATGGTGGTACTACCGGACGTGATTATGGCTATAGTTCTTTGTCTCGATTTCGCCCCATAGAAAGTACTATTACTGCAGCTACCGCAGGAACTACTGCAACAACTGGCATTACAGGCGCTAAAGCTATACGTGTTCAAGATATACCCAATGGAGCAATTGGTCGTCCGGTAGAATTTGAAATTGATGGCTCAAAAGCTGGTTCGGGAAATCTGGAGATTTTAGTTAACGGAGGCCGTGTTACATCTTCGGTTCGTTCATTGGGCGGTCAACGTTTCATTGCTAGTTTTACACCGCATGAACCCGGCACTCACACCGTGCAAATAACATTCAACGGCGAAACTATACCAGGTGAGTGGTATTCTAAGGCATTGAAGAATTATTTTTGACAATATGTGGATAACAAATTGGGAATTGTAATGCAAAACACTAAATAACATTTGAAATTGGAAATATTGGATATTAAAATGATTTTAATAGAACAAAAATTCTTGAGCCTCTATGTCAAGAACAGTACTTCAGTATTCCAAATATGAAGAGGTTCTCTAGAAATCCTGTCTATATAATCTCATTTATACATAGCCAATATTATGCACCAATTTTGCAGTACTCTGATCGAAGTTTATTTATATCATAGTATGTTGTCATCCTAAATGGGACTTTCATATTTGAAATACTCTCTACTAAGTTCTCAAAAGAAAAACAAGGACAACGATATATACTTCTGACATAATAATGTAAATGCTGATATTTATCATCGCACCAATTGTCAAAGATAGCGACCCCTCCAATGTATGGTTTTTTTCAACAGCACCTGCTGGCGATGGAAATCCTTCACCACCCATTTTTAATATTTCGTATAAAGAGTAGTCAATAGTTAATATCACGTTTTGGCAGGTCAAAAAGACTCTGGTTTGAGCTGATATGTAAGAGCTCGCATTGTCCTGGTGCATCATGATTTATTTTCTTTCGGAAAAATTAGAGAAATTAACAATCTCTAATTTTTCCGAAAACTTTTGATAAACAAATTGTGCAGTTCCACTCAGAATTAATCGTCATACGTTAATCGAAAAAATCGCCACATGACCAGTTTTGCCGAAGAAACAGGCTATCGTTTGCTTCGAAGTGTTTTTTTACGAACAACTATCATTGCATTTGGTTCGTTATCGAAGGCCCACAGGGCTGAATAATTTCTCACACGTGCTCATACGTTTAGATCCATACATAACCAGTAAGGAAAGTAGCAAAGTCGGACTGGGCCGACTATATATATATATATATATATTTTGTATATATGTATCATAACAATTTCATGTCAACCTATGCTAAATTTAATTTCAATCAGATTTAATGAAATCGATTTGTAGCAAACATGATACACGCGACTCAGTATCCCGCACTGTTAAAAATATATTCTCAATCAGACAACCGTTCGAAATATATATGGTACGTTGTGCAAAATTTCGTGTCAATCGGACAAATATTAGGAGTTTGGTGCACCATTTACTACAATATATATATGTGGGACCTAAGCCTAAATCTGAACCGATATTCTCGAAACTTAACACACCTCATTCTAGACTCAATTTAGTACGGGATTTAGGTGCAACATTTACATTAAATCGGACGAAAATATATACGTGTGCTATATTAAAATCTGAACCGATATTCAGGTTCATCACCATTCTTCATTCTAGACTTAACTTAGTACACCATGCAAGTTTTGTGAAATCGAAAGATATATAGGGGCTTTGGTACTCCATTTACATAAAATTGGACGAAAATATATATGGGAGCTATATCTAAATCTGAACCAATTTTCACGGAACTTAACATATGTAATTCTAGACTCAATTCAGTGCGCTATACCAAATTTCGTGGAAATCTAAAGATATATAGGGACTTTGATGCACTATTTACATCAAATCGGACGAACATATATATGGGAGCTATATCTAAATCTGAACCGATTTTCACGAAACTTAGCACACATCATTCTGGACCTAATTCAGTACCCTACGCCAAATGTCGTGCAAATCGAAAGATATATGGGGACTTTGGTGTCCCATTTACCTTAAATCGGAGGAAAATATATATGTGAGCTATATCTAAATCTGACCCGATTTTCTCGAAACTTAACACACATCATTTTAGGGTTAATTCAGTACTCTATGCCAAATTTCGTGCAAATCGAGAGATATATAGGGACTTTGATGCACCATTAACGTAAAATCGGACAAAACTATATATGGGAGCTATATCTAAATCTGAACCGATTTTCACGAAACTTAGCACACATCATTCTGGGCCTAATTCAGTACTCTATGCCAAATTTCGTGCAAATCGAGAGATATATAGGGACTTTGGTGTCTATATCGGACGAAAAGATATATGGGAGCTATATCTAAATCTGAACCGATTTTCACCAATTTCAATAGGGTTCGTCCTTGGTCCAAATAGATGAGCTGTGCCAAATTTCATCTAAATCGGATCATATACACAAAGACAAGATAACACAGTTTGGTAAAAGGTACAACAAGTGGAAACGCTGTGAAAAGGAATCGTAATATATTCGGTAGGCCTTTGATAATACCTATTGCATTCGGCTAGTCACTAATTATTGGCATTGATAAGTACATAAACGCACTTCAAACTATAAGATTGTCTTCGCTACATTATCTAATACACAAACCTCGCTATAGTTATACAATTATCTCTATTTTCACCGCAAAAGCAAATATGCCAATGAAATCTTTCGCTGTAAGATTTCATTAGCGTGGACACTCACCACATTGCTATTAAAACTATAAAGGCGAATTTGCTTTAGCAGTGGCAACTAAACAAACTCGGTTACCGTCAAAAATTATTAACAAATAAATTTGTTCGCCTTAGTATTTTAGATAAATTTGCTGTAAACATGAATGTATCTTACAGATACACACTATATACACTATATGGTAAGATAATTAATTATATATAGCTGTAATATTACAGTATGTATATGTACAAATCAAATGTATGTTTCTAGATAAAACTGTTGACTCAAATACTTTTAAAAGGTGTGTATTAAGCCAACAACAACAGGTGTGTGTTTGTGTATCCCATTGTAAGAGATACTCACAGCAATTAATTACGGTTTAGTCACCGTATAATCATAGGTGCCCATCAGTATACTTTAAAGTAGCTGCCTACTCACACGCATTGTTATGCTCTTTCAGTCAGTCGTTGTTTGGCAGGCAACGAATGAACACATACTGGGGTGCGCGCACGACGTCGTGTCCGCAGAACTAGAAAATCAAAGAAATAACACTTAGGGATAAAAGTGTTTCAGTATATTTGGATTTTTATTTTATTATTCAAAATGCGTTTTGTATATTTAAAAAATTTTAAAAACAACAGAACAATTTCTGTTTTTTTAAAGAATTAAATATTTGATAATTATCGTAGTATTTAATATTATTATTTAATATTATAATATGATTATTATCTCGGTATATGCTACTTTATAAACTTTATTAGATTTTTATGACATATACACTTTGTAATTCATATAAAAACATTTTTAATAATGCTTTTATTTTATATAATAACAAAAATTGAATTCATCAATAATTTTTTCCGACCACAAAAATGTACACACAATTTTGTTCAGTACTGTTCTGTTTTCTCTCACACATACTAACGCATTTTAATTTTGGGCACCTATGGTATAATGCATTCGGGAACAGACGGCAGAGAGGGATCAAACAGATCCGATGCTTCTTAATATGCAATTGTGTACAGCGATTGTTCCAGAGAAACAAACATTGCGTGTGCGGGTTTTTGTTATTTTTGTTGTTTTTTGCTTACCTCTCTTGAGAGAGAGAGAGGTACTGAGGTGTGTTGTTGTTTATTGGGTAGATAAAAATATGATCTTTTTGTGGCCAAATGAGAAGGTGGTTTTGTATCTGTGTGCCTAAATGTGTGTTGAATAGAGAACACAAGAGAGACCTGTCGACTCTTAGTGGGCAAATACAGGTATGCTAAAGCAAGGCTTAAACCAAGAGCCGGCAGTATGAAATCGCGTTTTTAACTAAACTGACACGTCAACGGAAAAATACAAAAATAGTTCGCAACGATTGAATCGAACGCATCTGAAATAAATATATATTTTTGAGATATATTTATTGTTTTCACAAAAAACGCATACCTTTGTTATCGGATATCCCAAACAACGAATTGAGAGCGTGCGTGTATTTCCCCCCTTTTGGAAACACACAAAAATAAATAAATACAAAGTGAAAATATTTACGGCGGAATGTTTTGAATGAATTTACTAAACGAAACGTGAAACAACGCGGCGCCTTCTAAAATTCATATCAAATTAAATGTGTGTGTGTGTGTGTGAATTATATTTAATTAAAATAAAATAAAAACAAAAAACACAAATTAATAAATACACAATAAATCAATTTACAAAAAAAAACTTCCAGCTGTTGACAAAAAAAATTATCTTTCAGATAAAAAGAAATTCTTTTTTGGAAAAATTTTAATTAATTTTTATCGTAACACAAATTCTTTAAGCATGATCACATTCTCAAATGAAACCTCAATCCAAACCAAAAAAAAAAAGCAAAAACAAAATAATAACAATAAAAAAAATAAAGCCAAAGCCAAAACAAAAGCAACAACAAGCTGAAATTTCATTTGTGTTTCTTACCCGTTTCTCTCTGTGGCCAAAGTAAAGTTGCCTCTGCTTCTGGCTGTGTTATTCTGACAACGTTGCCTTTGGTAGAAAACAATAACAACAACAACGAGTTAATACCAAACCTATGCAAATGTTAGCAGCAATAGTTGTCGTCTGTGGTCATAAATTTTTTTTATTTGAAAGGGTTATTAAATGGGACTGAGTAGAATATTCTTAAAGAAGAATGTGGCTCAGAATGTTTGATATTAGAAGAAACTATAGATTTTATTCTAAAATATATATTTTTGCAAAATATTACTTAAGTTTCTGAAGAATATGAATGTATGCCAGTAATGGCTTTAGTTTTCGGCATTTCGAGAAAAAGTATGGAAAAATGTGGTCTGAAATAGAGGCTTCAAGGTCTTTTCATCGACATATTGAAGGCCGGATATGGAAATTTTGGGAATACTAAAGGACATTTTGTTGTTTTTAACATTTTAATGGTTGTGATGTTGGATTATGTTCACCTATAATTTAATATATAGCTATATTCTGTCGAATCGGTTTAAAATATTTGTATATTGGACTGTCATTAAGTTTTGAAATTATATGCCCCATACACCGGATTCGCCATATTTAAAAAGTAAGAAATATTTATTTATATCCTATAAAGGATATATATTCT